TTCATTCATCACTTTGTACTACCTAGACAATCCCTGTATCCATGTATTTGATCAATGAAAAAAAGAAAAAAAGAATAACCGTTTTAACTGTTTAGATTAAATGGTGCAAACTAAAGTTAATATAATATTCAGATGAAATTCAAGCAGCTTCTGTAAAGAAATAATTATTTATTTAATGAAAWGTGTTTGATAACTTCCTTGTTTTTCTCCCAAGCCATGTGTATCATGCATCCGTGTTTATCTGTATGGGATTTCCTCTGTAAAGCAGTATTTCTCCTGGAAGCCAATTCAAAACACTGTTTTTTTGGTCACTGCCAAACAGATTGCTTCAAACTCACCTCAACTTACAAGGATGGAAATGCATGTGGATGAAGTTTCAAGGAGGGAAATGAAATATAAGTAAGTACCAGAATCTATAGGTAGCATTTTGAATCCCTGAGTTCCCTGAGCTTGGAGTTTCAGCTTCGCCCTATGCTATAAACTGCGGCTGTTGCAGAGGTTCCGCTTGATTCTCTTTATTCTCTTTAAAGTTAGGCCAGCACAACTTTCCCTCAGATGTGTCATCTRCCAGCAGTGGTAGCTGCAGAGCTCTAAAGTCCAAAAAAAAAAAAAAATAATCTTTGCACCCAGACACTGAATCCATCAGTGAGCTAACGCTCTTTTCAAGGTAGTTGAGGAGGACGAAAACAAGGACCTGGGCACGTGTGTTCTAAGCACAGATCTGAGTCACTCCGGGAGAACCTTGCAAAACAAATAGTGATTATTCGAATAAGAAGCAATGGCAGAGTAAGTAAGGGCTGCTGTTCTGTGAGTGGCGAGATAAGAGCTTAAATCATCGGTGACAACCCATGATGGAGTAAGGGCATGGAGAGGAAGCGTACGTCGGAGGCTGCTGATGAGGAGCCTGTTTTGAAGCAGCAACTCAAACGTCAGTGATCGCGGAACAACCTTGGGGGCTCTCACGGATGCTCCAGTAAACCCAAGTGCAAAGAAATGGGTGAAAACTAAAAAAAAAAAAAAAAAAAAAAAAGTGTAGCAGGAGCGTTTCTCCCGGGGTCGGGCCCGGTGAGGGAGGAGGCCGGCGTTGTCGTTCCCAGCAGGAGCGGAGCGGGAAGGGGCTGCCGGCCGCGGTGGCCGCAGCGCCCGCGCTGTCCCGCCGCGCGAGAAGCGGCGCGGGCGGCTCCGCGCTCGGCCTCTCCTCGTGCCCCGCGGCCCCTGCCCCTCGGGGGGTCCCTGAACCCCGCAGGGTGTCGCATCCTGGTCGGGGAGCGCGGGGGCTCCTCGGCGCGGCCCCGGCGCCCGCTGCACGAGCCTCTGCAAGCCTCACAAAGCGCGTTGCGCCCCGAGATTGTCCCTTTGGACACATCCACAACGCCTGGGCTCATGTTTGGAAGTTAAATGGACAGCGAGGTTGTTGAAACTCCCACGCTTTAAACTAGTGCAGACACTAGGCGCGTTCGCCTGTTATTTCCATACGTGGGACAGGCAGGGGCGGAGGGAAGGGGCAGCCCGGGAAGGGGAGGGGGGACCGTCCCCTGGTTTAATCCGTCCTCAGGGCCGGGGGGAGCAGCCTAGCCCGAAGTTTTCCTCTTTTTTTCTGTTCCTCACTTTATTCTTTGGCAGGTTTAAAATTAGAGCTGGCTGCAAAGCGTGTTGCGCCTTGGGTAGGTAGCTTGTGTCTCGAAGTGACTGGCAACGTTGCAGCTCCATGAAATCAAAATTTATGATTATTCAAATGTTGGGGACTGTGAAAAGAGAGGAAGAAAGAGAGAAAATTAATATTGCAGCTGTTCTTCTGATTAATGAGAGATAATTGCTCATGAAAAGTCACCCCTGTGGCATTTTGTTGTCTCCTGGATCTTTGTTCTTTTCCACTATTATTGAGGACTTTCTTGAAGACTAAGCGGTTCTTTTCAATTTTTGGTATTCAGAAAGTGTTGCTTGGTTACAGATAAAGGAGAAATCTCGGGCTATATTGGGTAAGATGTGCCACAGACAGCAATATCACAATGCCACGCTCAGAAAAGGATGGATACAAGTTAACGATGCGCTTTCAATAAAACATTAATAGACTTGTTCACGCTTTTATAGTGACCTCATTAACGGGAGCTGGGGGCACGTCCTGTCCCTCGCTTGCGCTCGCTTTACAAAACGCGCCCCCGGCACCACTGTGCGCTCGGGGAACTAACACGAACGCAACGCTGCTTMGCGAGAAAACGCGCTTAGGGCCGTCCGTGGGCACCGTTTTCGGCGGAGGCGGCGTTTTCGGCGTTCCCGCGGAGCGGGYGGATGGCGCGGGGCAGCCCGTGCGGAGGCGGCCGCCGTCCCCGAGCGGGCTCCGCTTTCCCCTTGGAGGGGCTGGGGGCAGGGGAGGGAAAGGGCCGCTTTTGTCGCCTAAGCCGTGAATCTCTTCTACATAAAGGTGTTAGAGACATCTGGAAGAAAAGAGGAACCAGCACCCAGTCCTGCGCTCCGCAGAGCGGGGGAGCGGCTCTGATGTTCTTTTTGAACCGCTCCACTTTGAAAAGGGGGCAATTTCGTTACATTCTCATTTGTTACACTGTCTTGAACTAAAGGCAGACAAAGCTATACTCTGTCACCCCGAGCAGAATGAAGGGAATCAAAGGATTTTCCCTTAAAAGGACTAATTTTCTCCTTGAATTATGAAAGTAATGGCTAGGTAACAGCCTGTGCTCTGTACCCAACTGCTTAATACCTTCTAAATCCTTCCACGTGGCTCTCCCAGTCGTAGCAATTAGAGCTCATTATAGGCTCATAAGAGCTCTCATTTCGGGGATTACTTAATGGACAATGAAATTTTATCGGACAGAATTATTGAAAAATAAAATTGTAACGAGGCCGATGTGATGTGGGCGCACGCCTTGCATCATTCCGCCTGGTTTGGGATATCTTTGCTTTCAAATCACTTCTTTTCTTGCTCTTGCTTTCATTTTTTTYCCCTCCTCCTCTCTCTTTTAGGACTGCGCTCCGTTTATTATTACAATTACACTTTGCAATTTTGATCCGATTCCTGCTCTGCCTGACTTGCCGTAGGACAGCCAGATCCTCTCCATCACTGCAGACAAGAGCTTGTTCTACTGGAGGCGGCGGCTCCTCCTTTTCCAGAGTAGCCCCCTCATAAAATATATACATATATGTTATAAATATATATAAATATATATTTATTTATGTTATATATAGAGAGAGAGAGAGAGAGAGAGAGAAAGATGGAAAACTAAGACGAATCCAAGTCTGCTCCGGATGAACGGGTGGTGGCCGGCGGGGTTCTGGGCACAATCTCATTGTGCCGCAGTTGGGACGGCCTCGTCCCGGGTGGCCTGGGTGTCAGGGCCCCTTCCCTGGCAGCCTYCGCTCCCCGCGCGGGTCCCCGCGCCCATCCCGGCCGCCTCGGGGCTGGGGCAACGCGCCGGCCCCAGCAGCGGTTTGGGGGAAAGTAGGTGAGGTCGGAGCTGACCCGCCTAAACCCCGCGGGTCCCTAATTGTTGTCACAAGACGCGGGATTAGCGCATTGCTGGAATAGCTGTCTGTTTACACTGCGAAGCCCCGCCGGCCGGTAAACACTTTCTAATTGAATTCTAATCACATTCAAATAGCTCCATAACCAGCCTCAGCTGCAATTCATAAAACTTTAATTGCCATCCATAAATCCTCGCCTCGCCGGGCGCGGAGTGTCCCTCAGGTCCGGGCGGCCCCTGCCCCAGGCGGGACATTCATTCAGCGGGGCTGAAATCGCCCGTCGAGGGCTGCGGGGATGAGAAGGAAGCAGCGTCTTGCTCGGGAGACGGGACGAGCAGCAACTTTTTCATGTTATTTATCCATTTTTAAACGACGGGGCTTTCGATGCGCCCGGTGACTTCTCCGTGTCCCTGGCCGGCCCAAGCGCGCGGTGACGGCCTTTGAACGCGTTATTAAGGCAACCGATTCCGTTCCCAGCCTTTCCACAGCCCCCGGTAATGAAGCGTATTCTGTGCTTTCTGCTTTAGAGCACAATTTCCCTTTCCCGAGTCGAGGGGAATTGGATAAGCGGCCGTTTTTCGACGCCGCTTCACATCTGCCAAACAAGAATGCAATCGCCCTTCTATTAACGATAAGTCTCTTCTTAAACTCCCATAAAACAGGTCATTGGAAAATCGTATAATATGCTGCAAATACCTTGGCTTTTTAATGCAATCTGAAATGCTCGGGAGCCACCGAGCGCATTTAGCTGTTTATCCAATTTCACTTTGAGTGATTGCTTCAGCAAACTTGGTGGAGATCAAAGAGTCCTCCCCTGACATGGTCGCCTTTCATTAGCCCCGCGCGGGCGGGGAAGTTCCCTTGGGAGCCTTCCGTCCCGATACCGCCGGGCTGCGAAGTGTCCGGATAGCTGGAGGTTTTGGGCGTTGAAGTAATCGCCAATTTGGCGAGATGCTCGGGAAGGGGAAGGGAGGCAGACGGAGGCTGCCTGGCCCGGGGGGGACTGCGCTGTCCGCGCATCACCTGCCCGCTGCGCAGCCGGGGAACAGCAGCGCGGTCCGGGGGGGGATCCCCGCACACCCCCCGGCAGAGACGCCCTCGGGCGGGTTTTGAGCCCCGCGGCTCTGCTGACAGGGGGATGGATGTGCCCGAGATGCTGCCGGGGGCGGCTGCCCCTCCCCGGCTGCGGAGATTTGGCCGGGGCGGGGGCTGAAGGCTACGGGCGGGCAGGGGCTGCCCTCCCCTCCACYCCACTCCCGCCGCCCCCCGTTTTGCCGCTCCCGCCGCTCGGGAAGCCGAGGAGATTTAGAACTGCGAGGCTTTCAGCTATCACGTGTTTAAATAGTTGATATAAAACCCYGGCGCAGGGGAGCCAGGCGGGGGGACTTTAAGACCAGCCCTCTCCGGGGACCCTTTTGTTCGCCTCTCAAACATAAGCACCTTCTCGCCTCGCCAGGGCTGCAGTGGCGACTTGGCCGCGACGGGACCGCAGCAGAGGCGGCGGCGGCGGGCAGCGCTGCGCAATGTCCCGCTCTTTCTATGTCGACTCCTTAATCATCAAGGACTCGTCGAGGGCGGCTCCGTCGCTGCCCGAGCACCACCACCACCACCACCACCACCACGGCCAGGACTTCTTCCTCCCGCTCGGCATGCCGGCTCCCCTCGTCATGTCCGTGTCGGGCCCGGGCTGCGCGGCCCGCAAGAGCGGCGCGTTCTGCGTGTGCCCGCTCTGTGTCACCTCGCACCTGCACAGCTCCCGCGGCGGCGGCGGCGGCGGCGGCGGGGCCGTGCCCCTGCTCAAGAGCCAGTTCCCGGGCGGCGGCGAGGCGCAGTGCTGCCCGCGGGCGGGCCCCGCGCCCGCCGCCGCCCTGGGCCCCGGCGCGCACCACGCGCCCGCCTGCGCCGCCGCCTACGGCGTGAGCGACCCGCGCAGGTTCCACTGCCTCGCCATGGGTAGGACGGGCCCCCGGGGCGGCCGCGGCTCCGCGCGCGCTCTGCTGCAGCCCTCGTCACGCTGAAGTTCTTGTCTCTCTCTTTCTCCCGTCCAGGAGGGTCCGATTCCAGCCAAATGCAGAACGGGAAGAGGATGAGGACGGCTTTCACCAGCACCCAGCTCTTGGAGCTGGAGCGGGAGTTCTCCTCCAACATGTACCTGTCCCGTCTGCGCAGGATCGAGATAGCCACCTACCTGAACCTGTCCGAGAAGCAGGTGAAGATCTGGTTCCAGAACCGCCGGGTGAAGCACAAGAAGGAGGGCAAGGGCACCCAGCGCAACCCGCACGGCACCTGCAAGTGCAGCACGAGCCAGGGGCACTTTCCCAGGTCGGAGGACGAGGAGTCTCTGTCCCCTGCATCGGCGACCGAGGAGAAGGAGATTTCGCTGCTATAGGAGCCCGCCCGCCCGCGGCCCCTACCTGGCTGAGCGGCGCCTTCTGCATATGAATATATATATATATATATATATATATATATGGAATGTAAATGTTTTAGTCGCGAGAGTTCAACTAAAAAGTTATTTATGTAACCCCAGGAGCGGACACCTGCTCTTCCTAACATGTAGCGCGGCACTGGATTCGCGCGGCCCGGGCTTCTCTCCTGACTACCCTCCGGCGTTTTAAAGAAAAAAAAAAATCACGTTTTAAACAGGAAAGTTGAGGTTTTAGAAAAGTGAAACGAACGAACAAACAACAACAACAAAACTTTTAGGACTGAAGACCTCCCGGACGGACTTTAAAAAAAAAAAAAAAAAAAAAAAAAAAAA